CTGCTTACAGCAGAAGACTGGAGTCAGGACATTTGTATATAATTAACAACTCTGGCCCTCACTTGCTGTGGGAAAAAGAGCAAGCCATTCTCTCCTGCTGCCCACCTGGAAAATGGGCTTCCTGATATCTACCTAAGAGCTAGAGCTGAGGAGGGGCTTCAAGATTTACAGCAAACTAATTTTTAAAAAGTGCCTCTTCCTACTGCATGAAGCCCTGAAAGGTGTGGGTGGGGAGCTGTGCTTGTTCATTAGGGGTTTGTCTAGATGAACAGTGAGCAAGTGAGATGCAAATTTGCCACACACTAACTCTGTGTGTGGATCCCACTACTGCACACTAAAAGGTCCCCTCGTGTACGCTGCCCTACTCCCATCTCTAAGCGGGGTAGATCAAAGTGTGCTAGGGAACTCCTAGTGCAGAGCAGTAGGGGCACAGGGACAGTAAGTGCGCAGCAGGCTGATGCCGGATCGATTTACATCCCAGCTTGCTGCACTGTCCATATAGACAAGCCCTTATAGCAGTAGCATGGTCAAGGATAAACTAGGGTAAACGGAGTTTACTTCTCATTTGGTGAGTACGGAGGTTAGTTTACCCACTTAAAAAAAAAATCACTACACCACACCACTGCCTTATATTAAAAATGCAGACGGGGGCCAGGCTGGAAGAGTATGATTGGAGAGCCACTACAAGGGAGACAGAATCCCCAAGGGAGGGGAACCTGACTGATTACAAGTCTCTGCCCTCTCAGACTGTTCAAACTCACTGGGCCATTTCCTCAGCAGGAAGTGTGTTAATGGAGCTACACTGATTTACAGTACTTGAGGATCTGGGCCTTTGAATTTGTTTTTAACACTAATTTAAATTCAATGACATTTTGGATAAAGGAGGCCTTGACCTTGCATTTGTATCAATAAAATAAATGCACACCCCTCCCATGAGGCACTCTTAATACTAACCATGAAAGCTCCCAGTAAAACCAAGACAGAACTGAGGGTAAAAAATAGGGATGCTCCTTCTTTTCCCCAAACCTTTCAGGATTTTGTGTGTGTGTGTGTGTGTGTGTGTGTGTGTACACACCCACCCACCCACCCACCCATATATAATCCTGAAAGGTTTGGGGAAAAGAAGGAGCATCCCTATTTTTTAC